GAGACGGTCAGTAATGGCGACAGCCGACTGTCATGCAACTACCCGTCGCCCATTTGTTACTGACAAAGAAAGCAAAATTCAATATTTAATCGACACTGGCTCCGATCTTTGTGTTTTGCCTCGTAGATTTTTACGTGCATATGTAACACCTACTGATTACAGCCTCACAGCAGCCAACGGTTCCAGCATCCGTACTTACGGATTGATGAAGATGCGTCTTAACCTGGGACTTCGCCGCGATTTTTCATGGAATTTCGTAGTAGCTGATGTGGACAAGCCTATCATAGGGGCGGACTTCATCGCTCATTATGGATTGCTGGTCGATTGTAAGAATGGTCGTTTATTAGATAGTCTAACTACCCTCTCAACGGCTGTTACGAGTAAACCCTGTCAGCTGCATAGTATCAAGGCGATCGCGGGTAAAAGTGAGTACCACACTTTATTAGCTAGATTCCCATCGCTGACAAAGCCACCAGGTGTATTTCGCGAAGTCAAGCATAATACGGTGCACTATATTCGCACTACGCCTGGACCCCCAGTTTATTGCAGGCCTCGACGTTTGGCGCCAGATCGCTTGAAAATAGCCAAGGAACAATTTGAGGAGATGCTTCGAGATGGTACAGCTCGACGTTCTGACTCACCCTGGGCTTCAGCTCTTCATTTAGTACCCAAGAAGGGAGACAGCTGGAGACCATGTGGCGATTACCGAGCTCTCAATGCCAGAACTATTCCAGATAGGTATCCCATACCTCACATCCAGGATTACTCACATCGGTTAGCTGGCTGCACAATATTTTCAAAAATAGACCTAGTGAAAGCTTATCATCACATACCAGTTTTCAAGGACGACATACCCAAAACGGCTATAACTACCCCCTTTGGAATGTTCGAGTTTCCGTTTATGTCGTTTGGTTTGAGGAACGCAGCTCAAACGTTCCAACGGTTTATTGATGAGGTTCTTCGAGATCTAGATTGTTGCTTTTCGTATTTAGACGATATAATTCTATTTTCCAGAAATAATTCCGAGCACCTGGAACACCTGGAGAAGGTATTTAGCCGCCTACAAGAATATGGGATCCTCGTCAACGAAGCTAAGTGCAGTTTTGGCCAAACTAAGGTAACATTTCTTGGTTACTCTATCTCTGCATCGGGTACAAAGCCTACGGAGGAGAAAGTAGCAGCTATCCAGGAATTTCCCCCACCCAAGACTGTGGGAGGCCTGTTGCGTTTCTTAGGAATGCTAAATTTTTATAGGCGTTTTATTCCTCATGCTGCAGAAGATCAGGCACCGCTACACAATATGTTGGCTGGAGGAAAGAACAAGAGTTCTCAACCGTTGACCTGGACACCAGAACAGCTGTCTGCATTTGAGACGTGTAAGGCAAGTCTCTCCAGGTCAGCTCTTTTAGCACATCCTTTGCATAACGCACCGCTTGCGCTTGTAACGGACGCTTCTAACGTAGCACTAGGCGCGGTAGTACAACAGCTAGTAGAAGGTAGTTGGCAACCGTTAGCTTTCTTTTCAAAAAAATTAAACAGAGCTCAGCAGCAGTATAGTGCTTATGACCGTGAATTGCTTGCAATATATGAGAGCGTTAAGCATTTTCGCTATTTAGTAGAAGGCCGTCACTTTACAATTTTTACAGACCACAAGCCTATTACTTATGCTTTCCTGCAAAAAGATCGGAAATGTTCCCCAAGGCAGTTCAATTATTTGGATTTTATTTCCCAATTTACCACAGACATTAAGCACATTTCGGGCAAAGAAAATATAACTGCTGATGCATTGTCTCGTGTAGAGGTTATATCTATCCCTCCTGATTTTGAAACGATAGCACAGAAGCAGCATAACGATCCAGAAATTCGTGAGCTATTGGAAAATAATTCTTCTTCCTTGAAACTTCAGAAAGTTCCAGTACCAGGTACGGATATTACCCTTTACTGTGACGTTTCTCAGTCGAGACCCCGTCCATACATTCCGAAGGAGCTGCGTCGTTTTATTTTTGACAATGCTCACAACATGAGCCATCCCGGAGTTCAGCCCACTACAAAACTAATCACCGACCGATTTGTTTGGTCTTCTGTGAAAAAAGACTGTCGTGATTGGGTAAGAAGTTGCATATCATGCCAGAGATCTAAGGTACAGAGACATACCTCTTCTCCCACAGCTGACTTTCCATTAACTGCCCACCGATTTAGTCACATACACATTGACTTAATAGGTCCACTCCCACCGTCCAATGACTTTAGATACTGTCTTACGGCTGTGGATAGGTTTACCAGATGGCCAGAAGTCATACCACTTGTTAATATTACAGCTGAATCCGTAGCTAAAGCTTTCTATGATGCTTGGGTAACACGCTTTGGGTGTCCGGAAACTGTGACAACTGACCAAGGACGTCAATTTAATTCGCATTTATTCAAATCTTTGACAGATCTTTGCGGAATTCGACTACGTCATACCACAGCTTACCACCCAGAGGCGAACGGAATGGTGGAGCGTTTTCACCGGACGTTAAAAGCTGCGATAATGGCCCACGAGACTACACGATGGACAGACGTGCTGCCTACAGTACTCCTTGGAGTGCGTACTGCTTGGAAGTCCGACATGCAATGCTCTGTTGCTGAGATGGTATATGGTGAGCCTCTTCGGATTCCTGGTGAGTTCCTCCATTCTAATAACTCCCAGTTACCTCAGCCATCAGACTTTGTGTCTAATCTGCGCATTCATATGTCACGCTTGAAGCCAGTGCCAGCATCGCGACATGGTCAGAAAACCATTTTTGTCCACCAAGACTTACCAACAGCACAGTACGTATTCCTCAGAAAGGATGCTTTACGTGGTTCTTTGGAAGCTCCATATAGTGGTCCTCATAAAGTTTTGAAACGGACAGAGAAAACAGTAACTGTTGAATTGAATAGAGGACCGGTTACCGTTTCAATAGACAGAACCAAACCAGCATTCGTTCTGACGGAAGCGAAGAATGCACCACCAAATAATCCTACAAATCGCCCTGAGCCCGAACCTGTCAAAACTACTCGTTCGGGGCGACATGTTAAATTCCCTCATTATTTTTCCGCAGGGTATTGATTCTCCCAGGGGGGTGGTGTGGCACATCACTACGCGTCGTCGTGCCCTCATTACTAACAGCGGCTACGTCACGAACGCGTAGGTCGCGGGGCGCGGTATGCGGGAGACGCGGACCGGTCTGGAACCTGCTCCCAGTCGCTTGGCCGGCAGCGCAGTGTGCTACGAATCACCTCGCACACAACTCCACGTCACTCGTCCTTCCGTCTTTTCCAATACAATTATTGTTAATATCTCGTTAATTATTATCAGTATACGAATTGTATTTCTTCTACGGTGTTTCACTTCGTATCCGCTCACTATTTGTAGGGATAGTAACATTACATCCTCATAGTAAAGGAACAAATTTTCTTAGTAAGAAATAGTTTAAAGTAATATTAGATTTTCAGAACTACCCTCTAAGTCTGCTGTCGCTAACGGTACTTAAATAAACTGGCAAAACAGAGATGGTTGACTCGTAGACGATTAGCTCGCGCGAAAATTATGGAGTGTAATAAGTCCTCATCCATCATATAATTATATATGTACACCAAGTATAATTAACTCAGTGAACTATCATACAATAAAAAATAGACAAGCAAGCTCATTTGGTTACGTGGTGATGCTTGCTTGCAAATAACGTTGTAGTTAATGAAATTTAAATGATCAGTTAGTAATTATTGTACGTGACACGAATACTAACACTGAGCTTTGAATGCCTATTATGCCATTTTTAATGATTTCAATTCCGGGGTAATATATTCTTAATCTTTTTCTTTTTTTCTTGAGACTGTGACTATGTGTTTCGGGATCCCGGGACCGAAACCTTTAGTTGCGCTCCTTGCCTGCATACATGCAAATTTATCGTCGTCCACAAACCCTTTGATGCGTGTCAAAAACCGCCAATCAAGCTATGGTCTAGTATCTATAGCCACGCAGCTTTTTAAGATAGAACTAATAAGATGATAACACATATCAATTTCGTATTCGAAGTACCTACCCTCAAATTCCAATATTATAATTGTCAAAGAATTTTTTTGTTTAGTAAATAATATTAATAAATATGTTCAAATTATAGTAAACTATTGTTGTATTAAACTACATTGAAAGAGGTGGAGGGCTGATAACCTGAGACACGGGTTTTGTCCTAGATTAGGTGTCAGCCCGCCATAATTAGATAAGAGACCTTTTACACATTTATTTTCCTACAAGTACAAAATAAATAAATATTTACATTTAAATATTGAACTAAAACTACACTTAAACTAGACAGAACTTAAAACTATGTTAGGATAAAAAAAATAGCTGCCTTGCCGTCGGCAAAAGTTCCCAGGATGCTAGCGGGATTTCCCCGCTGAATGGCGTGGTTTATGCGCTGGGCGAAATAGCCGTCAGCTCTGCGGTCTCCAGTGGTCTCCACCAATCTTTTCGCAATATCTTTGAAAAGATGGTAGGCACCGGAGCCCCAGGAACCCAAAGAGACCTTTTTACTTAGTGTTTATTGATGGAAAAAGAAGCTGATTATGAAGAGAAATAATAATAATTATTATTATTAATGAAAATTAACTACTAAATCAAAGCTTCGTCGCGCAAGTGTCGGCTTCCACCATAGCCTGATGCATAACTTACATTTCACAAACTCAATACTAAATAATACTATTATTTCACCAGATCCTTCTGTAACAAGTAGTTTACTTTCCCATGCAAGCGCTCCAATTCGTGCGGAAAACCCGCTGTGCTTCACTTTTGGTTTAAAAGGGGTAAGGTCATGATAACAGCGGGAATCCCATCCGCCCCGCAACCTTCGGATCCTAACGCACAAAACGGATTCAGTGCGAATTAACCCGGAAACGATCCCCCCTACGCATCCTTGCCTAACTCAACTTAGAATTAAGTTCAAGTATATAAGTGAGCGTCCCCGCATCGCTGCCAGTCTGACTTGAACCTCGCGGTTAACTTGCCGGTCGTTTATTATTCCAACTTGGAAGTAAGTGTTGTGAAGTTACGTTAAGTTTGAAGTAAGTGTGGTGGGTGTGCGTATACAATTTTGTGGTTTCGTCTATAGTTTCAGCGAGGTATATAATTGTGGATTCGTATTTTATTCTATAATGATTTGGTTTATTAGACAAGTATTTTAATATCAAAGCAGCCATTTGTTATGATTCAAATAATTGGTGGAAAAAATTTAAATGTGGAAAATTGTTCCCCATAAATTACCTACAGAAAAAATAAAACTTAATAAGATTTACAAAACCAATAATAAGAATTCTTAAAATTGATGAGAAAATAAACTGCAAAAAAAAACTGTAGAAAATTGGCTATTGCAAAACTTGCAAAAGTTTTAAAAAGTTGTAAATATGTTGTGCGCTCGTAATGAAATACTTACAGGTATTCAATTGTAATGGAGTTATAGTAGAAAAATATGTTTTATGACAACTGAACTTTCGCCCACAAATCCAATAAACTTATATAAACTAACGAAAAGTTAATTAATTATAAAAAAAATGCTATTATCTAATTAAATATTTCTAAAACACAGCTACTTTTATATTAAAAATAACATTTAATTTAGAACTAGAAGCCACTTCAATTATGCACTGGCGTGATTTCCTAAGGAGGACAATGAAAAAAGATTATAATTAATAAAACTAAATTGACAGCTAATGTGTACTGTGTGTGTACTTTTTATGTAAAAAATACATAAATACCTTCCTGATACTCCAATTTTCTATTAAGGAAAATCTTTTATTTAATTTTACTTACTTTGTCAAAAAATCAGGTATCCAAATAAATACATCAAATAACAATTAACAGATTTTCAAGTAATGCTCTTGATACTTAATATACGCCAATATAACCGAAATCTAAGTAGGTATGTCATATAAAGGAGATCTTTATGTCGGTTTAAAAACTTAAAAGCTTCCCGTAAAATAAATGTGTGCGCTTTAGTTTAAGATCAAAATTGATAGGTTTAAGTTCAATTTTATTTTTTACTTTGATGAAATGAGTTCACTTTACAATAACTTCAACCACCTTATTTGTTTCTTAGGTTTTCATGACACCACTCATTAAATAAAACTAGTTTCAACGGTATAGATGCACTGATTTTATTATTTACTGACGTATCGCATCCTTTTCTTTTGCAAAATATTTTTTTATTATAATTATTTATTGATTTGGTATAATAATATAATCATAGTTCAGACCACGCATCCTGAAAAGGATGCGACACGTCAATAAATAAATAAATCAGTGCATCTATAGCGTCGAAACTTGTTTTTATCAATCACCTTATTAATAGACGAAGAATAATCCTGGATAAGTTACTCCATGTTTTGTGTCTTTTCATTGAATGACAAATGACATTTGAGTGATATGAACAAAACACGGCGTAACTAGTCTAAGCTTATTCCTCGTTTATTAATAAGGGGGTCAACGTTTAGAATAAAACATTATTCACGTACGTCATCTAACGATTTCAATGATTTTTCATTGTTAGACTCTACTTTTAAACCAACTTCAAAAAGGAGGAGGTTCTCATTTTGACTGTATTTTTTTTGTCCGTTAATCTTTTTGTAATCGCAAAAACATACTTCCGAGGTTGTCCCATATAATGCTTTCTTGGTTACTAACTTTTAAAAATCTCAAGAATATACTTCCGAGGTTGTCCCATACAATTTTTTTCCAAGTACCATTTGGTCACCCAAGTTGCATTTTATAGTTATTTCATCGCCATAAACATTGGCCACATAAATATAAACAGTAAAGATAATGATTTCTTTTTTAACTTATCGTAATAAATTGTAGTAATTAAATATTATTCTTTTTTTCTTTATTCTTAACTAATAGTGAAATTTAATGTTTTTAATTTTCAATGAACTCCAGTTACGCAGTAATGGTAGGTACTTTACATTATCCAACATAGATGACCTGATTTTTCCTCTAGAATCAAAAATTATGAGACACACTTTTTAATATTTACTCGTATTTTAACATAATATAAACCTATTCCATCTAATTATAAAAATACATTTAAAAACTGGGGTCTCGCCCTCTAAGTTAAGGCTAAGCTTCGTTAAGGACTATATTGGGACAAAGGGTTCTGTACAAATTTCGAAGTACAGAACATTTGGCCGTATATTTTTTTACGTTAACTTAGAAGAGTGTAGATTTTTTCACAGCTTCAGGGACTATAGATTTGAGTACTTATATATTTAAAATCGACACCTCCACAAGTTCCCGAGATAAAGGGGCGTGACAGACAGACAGACGGACAACAAAGGTTCCGTTTTTTCTTTTGAGGTACGAAACTGTAATTCAGCTAAGTTATGGTGAAAACTGACGTGAAATATGTTACACAATTTCCTATATAATATATAAGTATAACCAAACAGGCACGAAAATTTTTAACATTATTGGAGAAGTGCGGTCAGCACGTCGATAAATGCCATATTCTTTTTAAATAATATCATTCTGAGATAACTTCTCTCGATTCAGCTTACAGGGCGTCAATCTATAGTGGTTTTAATAAGCGCCTATAAAAGTTACCAATAAAATATTTTAAAATTTGCCAATGTTCGTTAACGAATGACGAATTAAATTAAAAATATTATGAATTATCAATCGTAAAAAATCGTTTTTCCGTTTATGTGATCGATATTTGTATGCTAATTTAAAGAGAACATAGCGGAATTACCGCTCGAATTGCAGCGCCCGACTAGAGGAGGTAACCTTACAGATCACTGTGAAATTACATTATCTTTGTCGGTGTCGAGTTTCCGTCAGTGAGTAAGATTCCAGAGCTTGGCTAAATAAGAGATGTGATCAGGGAAGATTACCATCTGACGACGAGACGTGTACAGGGTCTTCATCAGTACGTAGGTCGCAAATAACCTTTACAGCGTCACCGGGTTTGGGTACGGCGAGATCCTTAGGGGACCTCAAGCCGAGAATTGGCGAGTGCCTCTAGAGGTATTCCAGGCGGTTGGGTACTCTAAGACGTGCCTAGGCCGACGGAATGGCAGTGACCCGACGGAATGGAAGGGACGCGATGGAATCGGAGGGACATCGCTATCTTCTTTCTTCATTCCCGTATTTATAATATAGGGACCTTCAAGGCAAGATTAAATAGGTGTTATTTGAGTTTGCGTGCACCAATCCAAAACTATCCACCCTGATATTTTAACAGAATGGTATAACAAACATGCAAAGTTCTGATTTATGACAGCTAAATAGAGCGTAATTTAAAATTTGTTTGGTCAACTGATTATCCATATTTTAGTTACTTTATTATCCCCCAGGTACCTAACATTTTTCCGTCATAAAAAGTTTCCTATATCTAAATCCAGGTCATAAACTTTATGCGTACCGAATTTCATCCAAATCCGTTCATTGGTTTTTGTGTGATTGAGTACAGTACACATACAAACATACAAAAATATAAGTAGGATATGTTTACAATAACATGTATCTCGATCATTTATTACAATTTCAAATCAACAAAATGATACACGTAGTAATATTTGTATTGACCTTTAGTGATGACAGAATAAGATATAGCTATGTTTGATACATTGTTATGAAGTTGGTGCTTTGACACATTTAAACGATAAAATTTTTTGACCTTTATTCTTTTCTTAAGCAAATGAAACTTTAAGCTGCTTAATAAGCGCCTACTCAGCTTTAAACTATTGAACGTCAAGTTTGTTAACTGTGAAATATCTTGAAAATATTTGTTAAAAATACACACAATCAGTGTTTTTTTTATGTTAATATGGTGGCGAATAACTTACCGTACTAATATATTACTGTGATCTTCTGTAAGGTCCTTTATTCCTCATCCTCTGAGGTCTGGGGAAGGTCTCGGGAAGTCCGACAGGAGCTTCCATGCCACCTACCTCTCCTTGCGGATTTCGATAATTCAGTACTTTGTAGATATCCTGAAAACGAAGAAAAAATCACTTGCCACAAACATACAGTCGTACAACGCAGAACAATGTCAAATAGAATGGCTGGTAACAATTATATCTCGTGGGACAATTTCCCAACACAGCTAAGTGTGACCTGCAACTAAGTTTTTAATTGATGTGAACTGGCGACCAAATAGATCTAGCAAAAAGTCAATGTTATACTGTGCACATGTCATGTACGGACAATCAACACCCTATGATTAATGTTTTCTGTTGTCGTTTAATCCATAATTTTATCTCAAAATGCTTAAATTATTCTAAAATATGCTAAGTAAGCGTTTCCTACGCGTCGCAAAGTTCGCATCGCGCAGACACTACCGTCCCCCACTAGAACTACATAGATAAACCTCCGATTCCTCCCACACAGGCCACAATCACCAACACTACACAGCCAGCAAACTTGCACACTAGCTTAGCACTAGGCAGACACCGCACCAGTAGGATAAGAGTGCGAAGACCCGGTCTACACACGACACGCTATACCAGATACCTGGGCGTTCTTCCCCGCCCCCCACTACAACGGCTAACTAGAGCCGAGCTTCGAGTCTAAAAGAAGCCCTCTAGTTGAGTCGACCCCCTGAGGTTCAAGTGGTCTAGAGGCTTCAGACGGATAGGAGACTCCCCCCGTGGGAGATGCCATCTGCCTGGAATACCTCTAGAAGTACTCGCCAATTTTTGGCTTGGTCCCCTTAGGATCTCGCCTTCCCCAAACCCGGTGACGCTGTAAAGATCATCTGCGACCAACAGCATACACATACACACTCAAAAAAAAATGGGTGCGTGTACTTATGTAGGCGCGTGAGAAGTTATCCTTCTTTGGCATCGTTCAAAATTAGTTTTTAATTGCATGCAAATAATTAATTACAATAAATTAATAAAAAGTCTGGAAAAGGACACAGTCAATAAAGTTCAGTTTTAATTTGAAAAAATAAAGAAATAATCAAAATATTCAATTAAAATCGCTACTGAATATAATTTATTAGAACATATGTGATTTGCACTTGTATGAAACTCAAAC